ACTACTAACAGTTTATAGTTCATACATTAAACTACTAATACTTATCCATAATTATTTATTATCTTGGTTTCTATAATATTTATATTCAACTAATCTATATCATTAGGAATAGTGTATTTACTGTAGGTGTCCCCAATTAATAGTGATTGTGTATTGTGTGATATGCTGCTATTTCAGTTAGACACATTAATAAAGGTTTTATTATTTATTATTATTATTATACGTTTATTGGAATTTCGTCATTGGTCTTGGCAATACTGGATATTTTGGCCATATTAAAGCAGCAGAAACCCCACGTTCTGAATATAAAATGTATAACAACTTGTAATAGCAGCTGTGAATAACCATAGAGCGGCATTGTTGCAAACTCACTAAAAAGATTTAATCGTCCTGATTGGCACTTGGAAAGGATTGACATTGACGTCAACAGCCAATTTTTATCATATACTGGGTTACTGCTCAAAGGACGATTATTAATTACCATCAAAACTATTGCTATTAACCGTCCAAACATATTAGGTACATGTCCAAGGACATCAGACTATATCTTTATTGTCCAACTGTAAGTATGTGATAAGGTAGACCAACTTTGCATTGATTCCGACTTCTGAGTCTATTCGAGTGGTCCCATATAGGTGTTATCGTAGGAAATGCCACAGTCAAGGAATGGTACATTTCACGTAATATTTCAAGAGGAGTGTCCCTTCATGTCGTGTGTAAAAAGTCGTGTGTCGTGAGCAAAAAGTCGTGGGTGTGGTAAAGTAGTGGGTAAAGTCGTGGGCCGTAAAATGCGCTAAAACGCATTTTTTTACGAAAATATTTATTTTATTTTTAATATCTTTTTCTTAACAGGAATTAAGTAAATGTTTCTGTTTGTAGCTTGGGAATCATTATAGTCCATATAACGGTTGTCGCAAATGACTGTGTCGACTATTTCATGATGCAATTCAGTACAAACATATTGAGTCGAGCACTAATCATTGTGGCGTCCGTATCATATAGTACGTATTCTAGTTAAAATAATACCACAAATTTTTCATTGCTTATCAAGTATATATTTGTGTGATGTTACTCTGAGTGTATATCCACACCGGGCAGGCTTGAAAAATATGCCTGGCCACGGCGGGATTCGAACCTACGACCTTTGGAATACTAGCCCACTGATATCAGATTACACTAATATCGATTACACTAATATCGAAGGAACTAGACTCAGTTCCGATATATCGCATACTCGAACCGTCCTGACCGCGTAGCTCAGTTGGAAGAGCATTGGGCTAGTATTCCAAAGGTCGTAGGTTCGAATCCCGCCGTGGCCAGGCATATTTTTTCAAGCCTGCCCGGTGTGGATGCACACTCAGAGTAACATCACACAAACATCTTATTCACCTGAGTACATTACACCAACACAGCAGATTTCAAGTATATATTTGTTTTTAACGAGTGTCCTTATATGTCATGTGTTAAAAGTCGTGTGTGCAGGTAAAGACGTGGGTCATAAAATGTGCTATTTTTATTTTTTTTAACAGAAAAGTGTTTCCGTTTGTAGCTTTGGGCGTAGGCCGTATCGGCCGGGGCGGCACGGGGGGGGGGGGAAATGTCCCCCAAAATTTTTACGGTCAGGGAATTGAGCAGAAATCCATGTGTCATTCGGGCAAAACATATAACTCTCATCAAAGTTGATAAGAACCGCGGTCTACAATGAGTAATTAAATATAATAACGCCAATATTAATTGCTTTTAATATACTTTGCCATATGTGAAGAACACCTGTATATGAATGATGATGGCTTTTGGCAAAGATTATAAAGATTGCAGAAACATTGAGCGTTGCCCTTAGTTTTTGTCATTTCTTAGACATTTCGGTTAAACTTCTGCTAAAGCAGCCTTTACACAATCATACTCATTTGTTTATAAAAGCACTAATAGTATACATAAAGATATTACTCGACTGTGATTGGTTGATTTCAGTGCAGTTAATCCCAAACAGCAGTGAATTTTCTGTAATCACAGTGCAATTTTCTGTAATCACAGTGCAATTTTTTGTAATCACAGTGCAAAAATCTGTAACAAACTGATCTGATTGGTGGAAAAACGTTGCGATGATTAAATCAACCAATCAGTTTAAAGCAATTTAGTTTAAAGAAGTAACGGTCACAGATTGCTTCAAAACAAAACAAACATGGCGCCGCGCTACACAAAGTAGGAAAATATGGCTATTATCTTTATTTTTAAATGGAAAAGCATTTACCTTAAACAAGACTAACAAAAATTACATAGTTAAGTGGAATTTTCAAGCTGTTAGCGTTGTATATAATGTGATATAACAAAGCCAGGAAAACTTTGCCAGTGGAATGTTCGCTATAAACGTGTAAGTTAAAACCACAATTGTCTCGAACATTTTTATGTAAATTTTATGAAGGTTAAAAGCCAAGGGAGAGGTTTTTATTAAACTCGGGGGCCGAAGGCCCGAGGTCTTTACAGTTTAATAAAAACCGATACCCGCGATATCATTTCGCGTCCCACAAGCGAAAGAGCAGATATTACTGTATAAATTCCCTGCACAAGCAAGTTTGATGGTTAATCCAGCTAGTCCTCGTGCGCCGAATGATCAATATTCTACATTTAAATAATGGACGAACGAAGAATTGGTGCAGAAGAACGAGGAATGGATATAGAAGTTGGTGAGGAAGAAGGAAGAGTTGGTGATGAAGTAAGGAAGGTTGGAGACGAAGAAGGAGGACCTGGCGGCGAAGAGCGGAACCCTGGCGGCGAAGAGCGGAACCCTGGCGGCGAAGGGCGAATTCCTGGCGGCGAAAGGCGGTGACGAAAGCGCAGCTGAGGGTGGCGAACGGAGCCAGGAAATTGTGATCGAAAGAGCGGAGACGAAATGCAAACGGCTGGAAGATCGTGGACAAATATTGTTGGTTCGCAGAATTTAAGTCAAGGAGCTGTACCGTTACCACATGCTCGGTTTGGAGCTAGGGTTGCTAGACCCAACTCTGTTGTGTTGCATACTCAAGCGTTTAAGGATATTACAGCAAGTGATGTCATGGATGCCGTTTTAAAATGTGTGAGACAAGATACAATTAAGTGTGTACAAGATCAGCCGTTTCATTTGCGGGGTGAACGAGTTATTGCTCAAGAGCTTGATATGCCCACGTTACTGGTTAAAGTTTTGTATGCCCCTAGTGAAATTTCTAATCAAACGATAGCTGCAACGTTGGCGAAATATGGCAAAATAGTGAAGGTGGATCGGGAAATGTATCGTGATTGGTCTAATGTCGAAACTGGGCTAGATATCGTGGGCAAGTGCCTTTATGTGGCAGATGTGGCGAATATGGACATCGTGTTGCTACGTGTTCGAATGATGTAAAGTGCTTCAAGTGTGGTCAAAATGGTCACATACAACGTCAATGTTTCAAGTGTTTTCTATGTGGCCAGTTTGGGCATGTCAGGGCAAATTGTCTAGAGAATCGACGTGACGTGTCCAATGACAGAGATGATTAAACGTCGGAAAGTAATTTGAGTAACGATATTGGTCGTGATGAAGACGGTAGCGACGTCTCCCGGTCGAGTGATGATATCTGTCCAAACAGTCGAGAACAACAAAAGTAAAGCAGAAGAGGACGTTTCCATACCTGACGAAGGTGTTAAGGTTCCTGAAGACTCCACTGACCAACGTGTCAGTGATATGGGCGGCTCACCTGAAGAACGGACGAAAAAGACCGATAAGGGGAAAAAGAAGAAGAGGAAAAAACATAATAAACTTTAAGGGACAATGGCGGAAATGAGTGTGGTATCTTTAAATGTTAATGGACTTAGAGATCATCGGAAGCGTCGTCTGCTGTTTGACTTTTTAAAGTATGAAAAATTTGATGTTATACTTCTTCAAGAAACGCATATTGCAACCGTTGAAGATTGTGTAAAATGGAACAAGGAGTCGGGACTGAAAGGGTATTGGAGTCTTGGCTTGCAAATAGTTGTGGTGTTGGTATATTACTCCGTGATCCCGACAGATTCAAACACTGTACTTATCGTTGTGATGCTGTTGGACGTATCATTTCTTTGGATTGTACATTCAATAGTCAGGACTTGCGGTTTATTAATATATATGCCCCTACTGACGGGACTAAGCGCATAGAATTTTTTCAAAGTCTTGATACACATTTTGTCTCTCATAGACGGTTTATTATTGGAGGTGATTTTAATTGCATGTTAGAATTGGCGAAGGATAAATATGGCGGAAATCCAGCCTCAGGAGATACTGGTGTTTTACATCTAAAGAAACTAATACAGCGATTTGATTTAGTTGACATTTGGCAATTTACGTGGCAAACTAAACGTGGTAGCATTAAATGTCGTTTGGACAGATTTTATTTTTCTTCATCGCTTGTCAGGGATTATGACGTCGAAACAGACATAACGATCTATCCATATTCGGATCATGATTTTGTTCGGGTATTGTTAACGGTTGACAAAGCTAGTAGTAATGTTGGCCCCGGTGTGTGGAAGTTGAATGTCTCATTATTACAAGTGCAAGAAGTTCGTGAGCAAATTGCTTCATTTTGGGAACATTGGAAAGATCGGAAAAGTGATTTTGGCAATGTAGCTGAATGGTGGGATTATGGCAAGTTACGAGTTAAATCTCTTTTTCTCAAATATAGTCACAAAGCATCTCGGAAGCGCAAGCAAGAACGTGCGACCATACTTAATCGCTATCGTCGTATTGTGTGTAAAACAAATTTATCGGAGGACGAAGTTAAAGAACTAGACTTAGTTAAGTCCCAAATGGAAACTGTGGATTTAAAACGTATCCAAGGAAACAAGATCCGAAGTGGAGCAAAATGGATCGAATAAAACGAACAGCCATCGCGCTTTTTCTTCCAAAAGGAGAAACGAAGAGCGGTTAAGAAAACGTGTCATGCTCTACGCACGAGTGATGGGCGGAGAGGGACTGAGCAAGATGATATCTCAAAGGAACAAGTTAGATTTTATAAAGAACTTTATTCAAAAGTGCCGACAGATAAAGTTGCCCAAGATCGGTTGCTCAATTTACTTGACAGGAAACTAACAAATGAGCAACGCGATTCATGCGAGGGACAGTTAACGGTGGGTGAATGTTTGGTAGCAGTAGAGTCTATGGCAAATGTCAAAACACCGGGTTCCGACGGTCTACCGAAAGAATTTTATTTGTCCTTTTGGGACCTGCTTAAAGAAGACTTTGTTGAAATGGCAAATTATTGTTTTTTCAGTTGAACTGATGCCTGAGTCTATGCCCCATGCATTAATATCACTGTTGTTTAAGAAAGAAGATCCTGAATTATTGAAAAATTGGCGCCCAATTTCACTCCTCAATACAGATTACAAGATTATTACAAAAGTTCTGGAAATCGTGTTAAACCTGTTATGCCCATGATAATTCACCCGGATCAATGCTGTTCTGTCCCTGGACGTTCGAGTGAAGATAATGCGACTCTCCTACGGGACGTATGTGACTATCTGGAAGTTAATGAAAGAATGGCCTATGCCTTTATATCGATTGATCAAGAAAAAGCGTTTGATTATGTTGACTGGGGCTTTTTAGACAGAATTTTAGGTACTATGAACTTTGGACCACAATTTCGATCATACATTAAAAGTGTTTATCATGACATTCGGAGTGCTATAGTCTGCAATGGTTGTTTCAGAGTTTTTTCACGTGCAACGAGGTGTCAGACAAGGGTGCCCGCTATCTCCATTGTTGTTTGTCATAGTGGCGGAAGTGTTTGGACAAGCGATTCGAAAGTGCCCAGAAATACAGGGATTGCGTGTGCCTGGAGGGAAGGAAGTGAAAATATCACAATATGCTGATGACAACACCTGTATTGTTACCAATTCATATGGTCTTGTTAAAGTAATTGATGTCTTTAATGAATATGGTCGAGCATCCGGAGCGAGGCTTAATACAACGAAATCAAAGGGTCTTTGGCTCGGGAGGTGGCGTTCTCGTACTGATTCACCCTGTGGTCTAACGTGGGTTAACACGAGCTTAAAAATTGTTGGTATTTACTTTGGTTCCGAAAATGCAAAGATCCAATCATGAGAAGAGGTTACGGCCAAATTCAAGGGAATATTGAAGAAATGGGAACCACGGTATCTGACGTTACGTGGGAAAATGACGGTGATCGGGAGTTGGGTGGTTTCGACGCTTTGGCATGTGGTAAAGATATACCCGCTAACGCGTGAATGTATTGACTCGCTACAATCGGAAATTTGGAAATTCGTTTGGTCAAAGAAACCGGAGTGGGTGCGTTGGGAAACGTGTATGTCGGACTATTTGAATGGGGGTCTGCGAATTATTAATCTTGACATTAAAAGCAAAGCATTGTTGATTGGTCGTGTCTTCCGATTTTTTGAGGAGAGTGCGGCACCTTGGAAAGATTTCATGCGTTATTACATCGGACGGGCTTTAGGCATAAACGATAACTCGAGACCAAATAGTGACATTCCAACTCCGTTTTATAGTCATCTTCTTCGTGTTCTGAGAGAATTTGCTGTTGACTTGGGACAACCTTGCACGAGCAAAATGTATTATCTAAAACGTATTGAAGATTGTGTTACCGCGGTAAAAGCAAGAAGCGAGTTAGCTTGGAATCAAAGATTTGGTCCTGGTTTGATCTGGAAAGAGATTTGGAAGGATGTCGCTCGAAGTTTCAATGATCCTGTGTTACGTGATTTTGATTGGCGCACGGTACATCGGGTTTTACCTGTCAATTTTAGAGTGCATAAATGGTATTCACGAATATCCTCAGCATGTGCACGTTGTGGTGAAAGAGTGGAAACAATAGAACACACGTTGATTCATTGTCCAATGGTAAAGGAGATGTGGATGTTCATTTTGAAATTGTGCAATCGAATTGATGCATCGGTTCTTGGTCTTTCAGAACGGAATATGTTGTTGGGTTGTTTCCAGCGAACAAAAACAAGAGACCTTCTGCGTTACTTAATTCCGCGTGGAAAGAACGAGTGTCACATCAGTTCAGGAAGGATGAGAAAATTAACAGTCTTGTGTATTTTAAGAATTACGTGCGAAATAGATTGGAAACAGAACAGTGTATCATGGACACGGAAAACTTTGAGACAAAATGGTGTATAAACAATGTTTTAGCATGTGTTATAAACGGTATAATACGCACTTTGATCTAAAAGTCAATATTTGTGTGACCTAATGTGAATATTTTAACGTAATCTAATGCATGTGAATTGTGTGTAAAATAATTTTGATTCCCCGTAGTGATATACACTATGTGGGTTTTTTAATAAAAATACTTACCTAATGGTAGAGTTTTAACGGGCTCTTAGGTGCGCGGCTGTGTTGTCTCTTTCTCGACTTAGAGACGTGCAGCGTTTTCTAGTCGAAAAGGAGATGTGGGTCTTGAGTTTTCCTGCAAATTCAAGTCCCGAATTCAAGACTCATGCCAGGTCCAACCTCGCAAGCCAGGGTCTTTTACTTCCACACGGCGCTACAGCAAAGACCCTGGTTCCCTCTGGTCACGTGAACTCCTAAAAATTAGGGCAACAAGAGGTCCTAGGGGAGGGTGGTTGAAATGTGATATGTTGTAATTTACAACTTCCGGTTAAATGTTGTGTTTGCAAGCCCGCCGAGGAGTGACTGTAAAGCTATGAGAAGTGACTTCAACTGTAATATGCAAAAACATTCAAGATGTATTATTTTTCTTATTTGTCTGCAGTTTTCTATTATAAATATTTTGTATGCAAACACTATTTTGAAGCCCAAGCAGGTTATTTGCTTGGAAAAGCTGTCCTTTGGTGTGTATATATTACTTGCAATTTTTCCAACCGGCAATATGGCGAGTCGCTGATTTGCCAGCTTTTGCCTTTGATGCTTTTCTCTAAAAGAGCGTTAGAAGAACGTCCAACTCATGGCGTTTGTGTAAATGAGTAATGCTGTTCGTTACAGTATATCGCAAACGCGCCTTTGATAAACAATCCAGCTCGAAAATTATGTGCGATAAAACTCAGAGATCAGCAATAAATGTTTTCAGCAGCTATTAAAATGTGATAACAAAGAGATTGATTGCGATGTAGCTGAACTCGAGGCTGGACTTGACCAAATGACAAAACTAATTCTACGTACATGTTATTTTTCAATCATCCATTATATTGTTATCTCAATTTTGTTCACTTTATGCCAAACGCAGTATATTGTGTGCTGTATTTCATAACGTACCAGTCGTTATTGCATGACTGCTACAGCATATAAACCTGACCGAAGACACATACAAGAATCACTTGGCTTGCATAATTGCTTTGAGTTGGTTGCAAATTCTGACCGAAAGAATATCTTTTACGAAAAAGCATTCACATATAGGCACTGATATTGATGCCTTGGAGGACATTTGCAGACCAATTTATGCTGTAGTGTATGCAAAGCACAATGTTTATGTGTCGAGTGTAGTTTACATATGGAAAGGGAATGATTTTACCTGATCAGACAAATATTTTTGGGCCTGTGAAATATTCTTGAATTTGTACCAAATGAATACACAATTAATCACAAATGTGGATTTTGTTGAACTCAGTTTTTTTAAAGTGGGCACAAGTTGCACTATGTTAACACTCTCTCATATATATGTCATCATTTGCATATATAAACTCAATTTACTTCATGGACAGTACAAAACCTCATACAGCAGTGCCAGAACAAAATTCTAAATTGAATATATATGTATATATATACAGTATAGTGTAACCATACAGCTATTTCAATTGAAGTTGAATTGTCACAGACAATAGATAAAAAATAATAACTAATAATAAAAAATTCGTTAATTAATTAATTAATTAATTAATTAATTAATTAAAGTGGGGTAATTAATTAATTAATTAATTAATTAATTAATTCGTAGGGTTAATTAATTAATTAATTAATTAATTAATTCGTAGGGTGTTTCCTAAGGATGAGAAAAACAACTTTCTGCTTTCTTTAATTAATTTTTTAAAGTCATCATTTGCATATATAAACTCAATTTACTTCATGGACAGTAATTAATTAATTAATTAAAAATTATAATTAGCTGTATGGTTACACTATACTGTATATATATACATATATATTCAATTTAGAATTATAATATAATTATAATTTAGAATTATAATTTGTTCTGGCACTGCTGTATGAGGTTTTGTACTGTAAGTTGAATTGTCACAGACAATTAATTAATTAATTAATTACTTAATTAATTAATTAATTAATTGTCTGTGACAATTCAACTTCAATTGAAATAGCTGTATGGTTACACTATACTGTATATATATACATATATATTCAATTTAGAATTTTGTTCTGGCACTGCTGTATGAGGTTTTGTACTGTCCATGAAGTAAATTGAGTTTATATATGCAAATGATGACGTTAAAAAATTAATTAAAGAAAGCAGAAAGTTGTTTTTCTCATCCTTAGGAAACACCCTACGAATCAATCCAAAACGTTTCTGGTCTGTCTTTAAAATCAACTCGAACACCGGAACTATCCCTAAGTCAGTCTCAAGGACAAATTCCAACATTCCGGTGACTAGATTACATGCAAACACGCCTCGCGATATTGCAACAATGTTCAATGAATATTTCCATTCTATCTACACCAACTTCCCGGGGCAATCTTTATCACCTCAGCCTGATTCGTCACCTTCTCTATCCAGTATATCATCCATTGACCTCTCTATAGAAGAAGTATACCAAGCCTTACAGAACTTAGATCCCTTCAAGGCTCATGGTCCTGATGGTTTTCCTTCTCGTGTTTTAAAGGAATGTGCATTTCAACTTGCTCCTTCTCTACACTACCTGTTCACAAAGTCCCTCCGCTTATCACAGATTCCCTCCGAATGGAAGCTAGCCAACATCATCCCTCTACACAAGAAAGGTGTAAAAGAACACGTGGAAAATTACCGACCCATTTCTTTGTTAAGCATTGTCAGCAAGACTCTTGAACGCTGTGTCCTAAACCACCTATATCTACGCATACAGGAAAGCGTTCACTCAGCACAATATGGATTCATTAGTGGAAGGTCTACCATATCTCAATTACTATCGACACTACACAAAATAGGGAAGGACTTAGATAAAGGTCTACAAACAGACGTTGTCTTCATGGACATTTCCAAGGCTTTCGATACCGTTGACCACTCCAAACTGTTACAAAAACTTCGCGATTTCGGTCTATCTGGCTCTCTTTTGTTGTGGTTTGAAAACTATCTATCAGGTCTCTGTCAACGAGTAACTGTTCACGGTGCGACATCTACTTCCTTACCAATAACATCCGGAGTCCCACAAGGTTCATTGCTGGCTCCCTTCCTCTTCTCGGTGTACATTAACGATTTGCCCGATAACATATCCATTTCTACTGGGGTCGGTTTGTATGCTGATGATACCAAACTGCACAGATGTGTGCAAAATCGTAACGATGCACTGGCATTGCAATCGGATATTCAAAGCCTCCATTGTTGGTCAAATGAGAACATGTTGAGTTTTAACAAATCGAAGTGTAAAGTGTTGTCTATCACAAGAAGGAAGTCTCCCTTAATTTACCCATATGCACTTGGCGATCACCAACTATTGTCTTCTGATGTAGAGTCCGATCTGGGCATTACGATCAGTTCGAAACTATTATGGAATGTTCAGATCAACAAAGTTCGGTCAAAAGCCAACAAAACGCTCGGGTTAATCCGACGTTCTACCATGGAGATAACGGATACCAACGCGAGAAGGCTTCTGTATCTTCAACTAGTGCGAAGTAACTTTTCCTATGCAACCCAAGCCTGGTGTCCTCAGTCAGTGAAACTTATTGAGGACGTTGAGAAAGTGCAGAGACGAGCAACTAAATACATATTGAATCTTGGGTTTATCACAGACATTTCTTACAAGACAAGACTCCTTCAGCTTGACATATTACCTGTCTCATATTGGCACGAATACTTGGATCTGGTGTTCCTCTACAAGATCATCAACAGTCTTACGTACATTGACGAACGTGTTCTACCGATCATGGCTGGATCAGGAATTACAAGAAGTGAATCCAACGCAAACCTAATTCGATTTGTTATTCCTTATGCGAAAACCGTAACATTCCAGACCTCATTTTTTATAAGAACTTGCAAAACGTGGAACATATTAGATAGTAACTTGCGTACTAGAGATATAGGTTTGCTGTCTTTTAAATCAGGTCTTAAACTCTACTACAAACATGCACTATCCAAAACATTCAAATGTGACGATCCGCGCACCTGGAAATCAGTGTGTGTAAAGTGCAAAAGAGCAAGATCGCTTAACAATGAAATAAGTTGTTGTTAGCCTTATTAGTTTTAGTTTGTTGAGTTGCTTGAAAATTTGTTTTGTACAGTAATTTTATTCTTGTTTATATGGGATCGCCGTAATTGGGGAAACCTGTGGCGAATTCCCTGGCTCTATATGTTGTATATTTTAAATAGCAGCCGAATCTTATTAAATTAAATTAAATTAAATAGTCAGATGTACAATAATATGAGTGCTAAATGAATAATGGGAACTATGATAGTTTTCAATAAGTTTAACACCTAAAATATATTATGAATATACCAATTCAATTTGTATTCCCATGAGGCTATTGATATGTTAAAATAGTATCTTTTTTAGCGTTCAATTTTACATTTAATTACTGTCTGTGACACTAACCTTAATTGGAAAAGCTGCATTATGATATAGGACAAGTGCAAATTGTGCATCTATTAATCCTTTCAAGCTAGGGTAGTAAATCATTGTTCAGCTTATTCGTGCAAGTGTTACAGTATTTACAGTCATAATTCCTCTTCATCTTCTGATGTGTACACTGGTACGTGCTTGGTGAATGTTCCTCTTGTGTTTGTTTAGCTAGTCATCAAATGCAGCGACAATTTGTCTATAATGTTGCTAATGTATCTGATGATATATATGTGAAGAAACCTTCATGAAAGTGATCATATACCGTATTGTTGATTGCAAATGGTTTCAATTCCAAAAGATCAGATAAAATAATATTTTCTCCGAAGATTTGTGCTTGTGAGAGGATGCCTTCTTGATTTAATTCCTACAGCTATGTCCAAATTGTTTATCATTTCTGCAGATCGATATCCCTCCACGGCTCAAGTCGCTGTACTTTAATATTAAACATTCGATTGACTTCACTGTCTTGCCGGTGTTTTTTTGGCCCTTAATTTAATGTTAATTTCGGAAGATTATAAAATCCGTCATCGGTCATCACACGCAAGAGTTCCACAATTTACAAATTCTGCGATACGAGGCAGGTTTTTATTTCGCTATTCATGCAGCTATAGCTCTAAGAATAGGTTGTTGCAATACTTCTTGTCGATAATATACCACAAAGGCTACACTTGCATTCTGAAAACAAAGCGGATAACGGGTAAATCATCTTTGGAGTTTCCTTTCGCCGGGCCATAGCTTGAGAGCTACTGTATACTGTACTTTGACTTTGTATAAGTGTGCATTCGACCTTTGTTTTCTTTGCGTTGATAAATAATGGCTCCACTTCAAGGTGTAAAACAGACCTCCAACCATGCAAATTATATCAAGTAGGTGTAAAAAGCTTTCAAGCGCTAACATATTTCATAAAAGATAACACAAAAACCGACAAAACCCAAAATATGGGTTAATACAGAGCGTAAATGGCAGTATTTTCCATAGGCATAGTTATAGATATTTTCGTTTTCGCTCTTGAATTCCCCCTACCACTCCTCCCTAAGTGGCAAAGAGGCGGCAATTCGAATTACCCCTAAAATCTGGGGGTTCACGTGACCAGAGGGAACCAGGGTCTTCGCCGGAGCCCGAGCGCAGGTAAAAGACCCTGGCTTGCGAGGTTGTGCCAGGTCTTGAATTGAAAATGTAAAACCAGGTAACTGGTTATTATTTTTTCGTAACAACCGGGGTACCAGGTTATTATGGAAAATTAATAACCTGGTAGGCTGGTACCAACTTCGTATCCAGGGCTAGCCGCGAATAGACCATTTGCATTATAGACTAAATTTTGATCTAGACAAAAATTTCATCACAGCTTGAAAGAGCATCACAAAATTAGTAATATTCCAAAGTTTCGTTGCGAAATGTTGTAAAATGCGGATAATATAGCCTTACGAAATTTGCAATTTTCAGTCATTTTGTATTACAAACGGGAAATTGATGCCCCAACCACCGATTGGGCTGTCAATTTCCCGCGCGTAATACAAAATGACTGAAAAACGGCAAACTTCGCAAGGCTATGTTTTCCGCATTTTACAACATTTCGCAACGAAACTTTGGAATATTACTAATTTTGTGATGCTCTTTCAAGCTGTGATGAAATTTTTGTCTAGATCAAAATTTAGTCTATAATGCAAATGGTCCATTGAAGGCGGCGGCATAGCCCTGGTAAATGCTGGTCACGTGACTCCAACATTACGTAATTGTTACTTTTCTCAACCGGGGGGTGAATGCTAGAGGTGAAACTCGAAGGCAAACAGTTTTTATCTCAGAAATTCTTCAATTTTCCCTGTGAATTTTGCATTTCAAGCTTTTCTCAAAGTATGGCGATCGGTCAAATGGATCAATACTTTCTGTAGAAAAAATGTGAGATTTGTTCCAATGAGACGTTTAAAAGACTTGGATATGTCGCTCAAGACGCTCGATCATTTGCATATGTTTATGGTTTAGTACCTTGTTCAGTTTGTTGCAACTTGCGAAGCAAATGAATGCAAATTCAACTCTTGTATAATGACTAAAAAGGTGGTTGGTAGAGGGACAATATATACAAAAGATATGAATACTTGAGCTTCAAACTAGGGACAAGTTCATGGACATCCCTAATACATATGGACATTCATTTGATATTTCACCAATATCAGGGTTCGTAGCGGTCTTTGAAATCCTTGAAAGTCTTTAAATTGGAATGCAGGTCTTTGAGGTCTTTGAAAAGTCTTTAAATTGTGTGAAAAAGCGAAGAAAGTCTTTAAAAGTCTTTGAATTCTTTAGTAAGTATTTTGAATTTTTCTGTCTAATGCCAGACAATTTTACTCGTCAGGTGGACAGTGTATGCCGCCACTCAATGGGTTAACATAGTTGATGAACATGCCAAATGATCCTTGACCATGGTACTGCCATGGTACTGCGAGGTTGGCCTGGTACCCGGTTATTAATTTTCCATAATAACCTTCAACCCCGCATTTCCCCCGGAGAAATCAAATACCACCGCCTGGTTTTAGATTGAAGGTTATTACGGAGGAGTTAAAAACAGACAAAATACAAAAGAATATGGTCTGATGAGTTTGTAATAATAAGTAATAGCATAGTTTCTCGTGAAATTTGGATAAACATGCACTCGTGAGTTTTTCAAAGACCTCAAATAGCACTCGTCCGTCGGACTCGTGTTATTTTGAGGTCTTTGAAAAACTCACTCGTGCATGTTATCAAATTAATTGTACTCGAAACCATGCTATTACCTATACATACAAAATCCAGGGCCTTTTTTAAATACAAGCTAGAGGGAGGGCAAATGCTCCCCAATCCACTCCCCCCCCCCTTGTGCCCCCACGAAATCTCAGAATGCAGGAAATGGCATTTCCGGGCTTCAAATTTCAAACATTTTCTGCGGGAGTATGCCCCCAGGGATTCATGCGTGGTATGTCGGCCACATAGCTATCCCCCACTAATATATTATTTCACAGAAAGGTCCCTTTTCAAAAAATGCCCCCCCCCGGGAAAATCCTTAAAAATGGCCCTGATAAATTCTCGAAAAAAGTTGTGTATGTGTGACTCATGTGTAAGCAAAGCGGTCGGCCAAACTAATACTGTGCCCCCGCAAACAAGATGAGGCCCCGTAAGCCCTAGCTTTGGGGTCGTTATAGTCCATATAATGGTTGTCGCAAATGAATATGTTCGAAAGCAATTCTGCAATTTTGTGCGAAAGCAATTTCGGGCCTTTTGCCAACCGAGCGCGCCAGCCGATTATGGAACTTTCTTCATCAACCTTTTGGGGAGAATATTACAGAATATGGTACCTCTATGGAATATTTCCGAACGCCACATACAGATGAAATGTTTATATATCTTTAAAGGCCACGAACATATACTAGGAGATAAAATAGCAAAATTTGGGGCTCGAGCTTTACAGCGTAGAATTTATAGCTCAATATGTTTGTATCATATGCAATCGACCTAGTCATTCGCGACATCCGTGACAGGGACTATAACACGTGACAGGGACTATAACAGGGACTATTCCAAAGCTAATAAACCTATAACTTAAGACGTTTTACCCTCAAACAATACATCTATACAAAACTGAAACATTTACTTTCCGGAAACGGAAACACGTATTTATCTAGCGTATAACTGGAAGGCAAAAGTATTGTAGTCAGTGCGAAAAAAATATTAAAAATAATATTTTCGTAAACAAATGCGTTTTTAGCACATTTTACGACCCACGACTTTACCCACACCCACGACTTTTTACTCACGACACACGACTAGAAATAATCCTATTTGGGTTGTTCTTACTATAATCAGGTTAATTTGACCAGGAGTTCCTGGTTAAATTATCCAGCTATGCCATGTGGATAAGCGCATATAAAGTAATTCCCAACGGTTTTAAATCGTCTTTTAAGTTTTATTTTCACTCGCCTAATATTCGCCATATTATATATCTCGTCGTGTCACGAAGGCTTGTCATGAACACAGTCGGCGCTTGATGCGCACATTGCCATTGATTTGATGTCTTTATGTACTCCGCCGCCGCCACTCACTCACTGCCACCCCGAGTCACTCTCAGCCGTATCAAACTTTCGCAATACAAAAAGTAGTTTCAAATTTCACAGCTTCATATTTCACAATATTTGACCCAAAGGCAAAATTTTGCACTTTTCTCGCTCTTGGTTCTTATTCACAAAGAATTGCGCTCGGACACCTCCAAAATCATAAAATATAGGCCTTCGGACGTCCTTTGAACGTGTTTTACCGAGCAAAAAATGAAAACAAAGCCCGTCACTTTTGGTGTGTTTAGAGGCGGTTGCGCAAAAATTTAATAGTAATTTACACTAGCGCGCGTCATCGGCTCAGGTAAATAGGCTCTGGAGCCCATTTGCGCATGCGTATGGCACCGGACACCGCCAAAATCAAACTCCTCGTGAAATTGGCTACATTTTGGTATAAAGTTTGATATATTTATTTGCGAAATAAGTCCGTCAAAATGCGTGTGAAGCTAGGTTATATTTTGCGGCTAGCATCCTCGATACCTACGGCGCTAGCTGAAGCAGTAAGACCGAATACTGGAGAAGTATCTTCGACTGAAGCTCTGCTATGAAGTTTTTTGGCGGACAAAATATCTGAAATGTATCAATCGAGTTTATACGCTATAAATTGATGTTGTGTGCTATACATTGATGTTATGTGCAAAACATCGATGTCATAAACCGATACAACTAAAAGATAAACCGATACAACTAAAAGATAAACCGATACAAATAAAAGGTAAACCGATACAACTAAAAGATAAACCGATACAAATAAAAGATGAGGAAACGGAAGTAAATACCAATAAAAGATGAGGAAACGGAAGTAAATACCAATAAAAGATGAGGAAACGGAAGTAAATCGGAAAAACGGAATTTAAGCGACGCGGCGACAAACAACAATGGCGTCTCTTGAACCACGCATTTGGCTTCCTAATACAGAAAACTTTTTTCGTGAATTGGTTGATTTAATAAGAAATGCTGAACAAAGTCGCACTCATTGTGACTCGCCAGACTTTTATTGTCGTAGATTAGAAGAGTATGAACGCACATTGAGTGTTTTAACAACAAGAATCACCGAATCATACACAACGGAGCAGTTTTTAATCAACAATCTACATATACTATGTATTTTATATTTAAATAGTTTACGAAATGAATTCGACGTTATTGTTGAAAATTATGAACGGACCTCTGAGCGCTTTTCACTAGAAGAGTCTTACGATCGTGCGGTTTGTACGGCGGAAAGAAACGGGCTCGTTGGTAGGCCAAGAATACAAGTCACAGTCAGAAGAGCAGTTAACCACATTGCTTTTTAAGTTTAGATATAGGTAATGAGAACCATATTGGTGTCCTAGTAATAAATTTATGCCACAATAGTCCCTAAATGTTAGATAAAAATGTAGTGTGAAATATGATAGTGTGATGGCCTCGTGTTGTTGGCACAATTTATGCTTGTGAAAATGTTGTATTTGATAAGCCTGAGAATAAAAAATAAAAACCACTTGTATATGTATAAATGTGAACCTAAGAAATATAAGTGTAGGTGTAGACTTTTGGAACTCATAAAATATTAAAATTGGAGATGCGTGTGTGAAATTGTATCGGTCAAATATCCTGTGGTGTAAAAAAATTTGATCATACTTGAATCAAGGAGTAGATCTCGCTGTACTAAAAAGCTTGTAAAGCATGTAAAATATATAAGGCGAGAGAAAGAGATAGTGATGTGTATAAAATTCAGTATCCCTGAAAGGCTGGCTGCGGCACAGACGCATTATTTGGTACACACGAATTCTGAGTACGTGGTATTCGGAAACGAGAATTCAGTTCTTCGGATCACGATGTGAACTGCTGCACTGAACCACCTTGTGATGTGTTTTCTTCACGTGTTTGCGAAGAATCCAATGCTGTAAATTGGTCAGCGCGCTTAAGATCGACTGAGCAATTGTCAAAATCCTGAACATTTGGTATTCTGCCCTGTCTCTCTTCTGCCATGTTTTTCAATATCTATTCAACAGCTTGGCGCACCACTTGGCAACGCGCAATTTTGCCGCGTCGCTCAACTTCCGTTTTTCCGATTTACTTCCGCTTCCTCATCTTTTATTGGTATTTATTTCCGTTTCCTCATCTTTTATTGGTATTTACTTCCGTTTCCTCATCTTTTAGTTGTATCGGTTTACCTTTTAGTTGTATCGGTTTATCTTTTAGTTGTATCGGTTTATCTTTTAGTTGTATCGGTTTATGACATCGATGTATTTGCACATAACATCAATGTATAGCACATAACATCAATTTATAGCGCATAAACTCGATTGATACATTTCAGATATTTTGTCCGCTAAAAAACTTCATACTCTGCCTTCGTTCGTACATCATATAAGCAAGTAAGAGTATATTCATTATTTTACAAGTTGATTTGCGGAATTGCGGCAGATTTTAGTAATTTTTTTTTCTGGTATTCATAGCATAGTCGAATTATACATATTACGTACTAGTTCTAACACTGTAAGTGTTCTTACTCCTTTCCTCTGATTTCTAAATACGGCCAAGTAGGTTGAAAATGCGAGACGAAGACGAGCTTTTTTAACCAGCTTGTCTGTATTTAGAAATAAAGAAGTGCCTTATCAAACGAATCAATACTTTTACACAGAAAGCAATGTGTGCTTTGGTCTGTCTGCCATATTTATTAATAAAGAATGCGCGCATAATTGCAGTGCGAGGCACTGGATACTAGCTTACTCAAATGTTCGCGTTAATAGGGTGAAAGTTTGATATAGAGTACTTTAAACTGCAGAATCAATAAAAGACAATAATAATAGTAGTGATATTTCATTGATATAAAGAAACACCTATAACAGAACGTATATAATACAGTTAAGAAAGATCTTACCTGAATACAGGAAGGAAACACAAGAATGAACAAAACGAATGAAGTCCAGCTGTTCATGTTGGATATAAGGTTTGCTACATATGGTGCTATAGGAATTTTTCAAGGAGTATTAGTAGGCATATAGTGGGTGGTATCAGTGACGTGATCGGAAACACAATTGATATAAACGCGGCATGTTTGAGTCAAAATATATCTTCTTTGAGATAACACTTGTGCCAAGTAGTACAAGTTCGCTTAAATTAAGGCGTAACCTGTTTAATCTTTCAGTTTTTGCCGAAACGGACATGAAGCATTTTATTCTGTCATTAGAGGATTTTATTTGCGAGAGAACTCTGAAATGAGTTATATTATACTTCCGTTCTTCATTGGCCAATCAAAAAGCCTGATTTATTTAGCGTCACCAATAAATGTGTATAATAATAATAATAATAATAATAATAATAATAATAATAATAATATGTATTTATTTAATCACGATAAGTTAGTTACAGGCAGTGCTGATGTGGTCGTGAAAATAGCAAAAATTCTAAATAAACTAACTATAAAAACCTATATTTATATATAATTGTCTGAATATTGATCTTTAAATCTTTTCTTTAAAGTCTTGTAACTTGTGTATTCCAAACATCTTAACTCATTATCGAGAGAGTTCCATAAAACAGCTCCCTTGTATGACACAGACTTCTTCAAGTAGTCAGTTTTTGAATTCTTAAACAGTTCATTGTTCGGAAGTTATACATTCTTTCTCTTTTCACAAATAATTTTTGAAGCTGGGGGAAGGAGAAAAATTTGATGATGCAGTTAAATACTAAACTTAGCAATTTTAAATCATAAAATAGTTTAAGAGTTCTCCAGTTTGCAAGTCTTTTCACTTTAGTTGACGTAGTGTCCCAAGCACATCCCAAAACAATCTTGCTGCTCGTACGTGGAGCCTTTCTAAAGTGTTCCATACTGTTTTTCCTACCGAACCCCATATCAAGATACCATATGTAATAGAGGGAATTATCACTTTAAAGTAAAAATCAAGTTTTGCTTGTTTAGGTAAAAAATATAAGGCTTTGAGTAGGCTTAGTTTGCTGTTGAAGGATAGAACCAGCTCAGATGTGTGAAGATTCCATTTTAAGCCCGAGTCGATTTTTAGTCCCAGGGATAATTTTGAGTGCACTTGTTTGATACTTCCTTCTGCAAACCTAATATCTTGAAAGGGACCAGGAAAATTAGAACAACCCAAGAGCATGTACTCTGTTTTACCAAGATGAGGAGTTAGTAAATTATCCTGACACAAATTGACAGTTTATGTAGAGGATAGAATTCAAACTATTTGCAACGATATCTGGGGTTTGCCCAACAGCATAGATGGTAGTATCGTCCGCATACATTTCGGTTTCGTCATGAACATCTTTAGTGATTTCTGGCAGATCATTGCAAAAGAGAGAAAAGAGAATGGGTCCAAGGACAGACCCCTGGGAAACTCCATACTTGACTTTACTCCGGCTCGACTTTGTTCCATTGACAATCGTTGAAATTGACCTTTCATCCAGATAGTCCTTAATCCATAGCCAAATGTCACCAGCTATACCCAAGTTGTAATTTTTGTAATAAAAGAGGATGCGAGATAGTGTCGAATGCCTTTTTAAAGTCAATGAAAACTATTCCAACGACTAATTTCTGATCAAGGGCCCTTCTCCAATCCTCAGTCATTTTGACCAGTAAAAGTTCTGTAGAGTGACCCCGTTTGAATCCCCATTGGTGATCATTGCTAAGATCGCGTATTTCCAAGTGATTGTTGATGTAACACGTGTCTCCATCAATTTACCAGGTACACTTAGGATTGAAATCGGACGATAGTTATCTCTTTCTGTTTCGTCGTCCTTCTTATAGATTGCAGAAACGATTACGTTTTTCCAAGTGCACGGAACTGAGTTGGTTTCGGCACTTATATGGAAAATAGATGTTAGCGAAGGCACTATTGATTTACCAGCGAGTTTTAACAACTTTGGAGATACCATAACGGAGCCAGTTGCTTTTACCGGTTTAATTTTTAATAATTCTTCATAGACTTTATCTTGTGATAACTCAATCTGCACAACTGTTGGGGTTATTCTACTAAAAATGGGATTCTGGTTTCTTTCCGAAGACTGTACGCGATTGATTAGTTTCTCACCGACAGTTGCAAAGTGTTCGTTTAATATTTCAGCTTTTTCTTTGTTATTAATCACCAGTGCGCCATCGTTATTTCTTATTCCTAAGATATTATTACGGGTTCTAAATTCAGTTTCCTTCTTAATTAAATTCCAATACACGCCCGTGCTATTAACTTCATCGAATAAACTCTTATAGTAATTACT